CACGGGCGCAGACAGGCGTCTGGTGGACCTGACACCCCCTGCGGTCCAGGAGCCGGGCAGGAGCTCACATGCCTGCACGGGGCGGGACCACGGACACCCTGAGAGGCCGGGGTCCCCCCAGCAGCCACAGGTGGGACCACGGAGACCTCACTCTGTACGTGACAACCACCCCAGGCATGTTCTGGAACTGCCCGCGGCCAGAGAGCCCGAGCAGGGCCGGGCGTTGTCCGGGCCGTACCTGCTGACACGGGCAGCTGGGTGTAGATGGAGTTCATGAACACCCCGCCACTGGCCTGGATCTGGATGACCTGGGAGGGGAGGGGAGGGGCCAGTCAGGCTGGGGCGGAGCCCTTGGATCCTGGGAGGCTCTAGGACAGCCCAGGAGGCTCAGGGAGGGCGTTGGAGCCCGCTTCCCACCCCACCCCCCCGCTCATCCCTGTCGTAGGTGACGGGGCGGGACCCTCACCGTGTCCCCGCCGTCCATGCTCAGGGTCACCGTCTTGAGGCAGTTCTCGTTGTCTGTCAGGCCGCACTTCCGCAGCTCGGCCAGCACTGTGAAGCCGCTGTCTGCACATTTCTAAGGGCAAAGCAGGGCATGTGTGTGCCTGCCTGTGTGTGCAATGCACATGTGTATGCGTGCACCAATGTGCACGCGTGTGTGGGCATGTGTGTGTGCATGCGTCTCTGTGTGTGCATGTGTCGTGCCCTGTGCCCAGGGTGCCCTGCAGGTGGGCGGTGGCTCTCAGTGGCCCCTGACACCTGCAGTCACCTCCAGGGAGCGTGTCTCGGGATCTGGGCGTCCCTCTGCCCCTGTGGGTGTGCGGATGGGACCCAGGAGGGGCCGGGGGGCAGGGGAGGGCTGAGGGCCGGGACCGGCCGCACCTTGGACAGGACGTAGCTGCAGTCGCCGTGCATGTCGTAGAGTTTCTCGTCGTAGGTGGAGATGTGGGAGCCGCCCTGGACGGAGCAGGTGCCCGGGCACGGGAGGTCCTGGCACTGCCACAGTCCCCCCGAGCAGGTGCTGCGGAGGCGAGGAG